ACACATTGAGCCTTATAACCAAGCATAAAATGATCCTTTCTAATCAATGCATATTCCAAGCTTATCAAGACGGAACTGTTATTAAGTGAAATAAACTGTTAAATGAGTAAATATACAAGCGTACGGTTGGCTGCCTAATTCGATTTGTGGATTTATTATGTAATTTTCCCCAATGCAGTGAGCAAGCCTTAAGATGCCTATACATAATATTGTGGGAAAAACTACACTAAAGATCGGTAAGTCAAAGTTAGGCAACATAAGGAAATTACGATTTTATTGAATAATTGTTGATATTTTCGAAGAATACCAACATAGAAAATAAGTGACGAATTAACAGGAAAATCTCACAATTTCCATTTTACTTGGCCCACTTCTCCTATTCGGAACAAAATGTAAACGACCTGGTAGCCTGTACATCAAACTTTGTCCTTTCTAATAGTTTCTTTGTTAAAATCCTTCGATTAAGTGGTTGTGTGCCCTAGTGCCATAAAAAATTTAATATTAAAACATATTCTTCGCTTCTCATTCACAAACTGTTCATTTAAATAGGTCCGGTTAGTTGGGATGACCCAATAAATGTGCACCCATACGCTGATTGAGAAACATTATTGAGTGAAAGTCTATAAGAATGGGCATTAGCTGGACCCTTCTCGGACTGTCCAGATGATACAGTTAATTGGGAAAATGTAGCACAAGCAGCCAAGCAGGAGTTGCGACCCGTTTGCAGCAACGTGTCAGCCAAACTACAGATAAATTTCGAGAACATAAGTCTACTTCGAATCACAACCAGGCATCTTGACTACATTTAACACGAATTCGTCTGGGGTAACTGAGCTTATATAACCAAAAATAATGGAAAATGAGTGCTTTAAAAGCCAGAAAATCCCAGAGAGAAACCAAAGGCAACCCCAGGATACAAGGCGTCAGGATAAAGTATTATTTTTATTATTAATTATTAATTATTATTATTCCCGATCATTTTGAAACGAGTAGCATAAGCCATTAATGTTGCCCACATTTGGTTGAAAGACTGTCTAATATCTCATTTCCATAAGTGGCCAGCAAGAATCGTGAGAGTCGAAAACTCAAGCATCACATAAACAATTAAGTCTCCATCCCTAAGAGTGGAATTTTTCAGACTAACATTAAAATTTACCCCTTTCAAGTCCAATTATACTTATTTGTTAAGCCAAATAATAGCGTTTACATGCTTTTCCTAGCCTCATCATGACTCCCAAGTTAATTTTGCTGATAAGCTATTCCGGTAATTCACTAAAATACTTGAATGTTTCCATTAAATGCTTCAACAAAATGGAGGGTCGAGAGAAAATAATTTTACTGACTAACATTTAAGCATGAAGAAATAATGAACATATAGGAGCTTGTAGTGTAACTAAGATAGAAGGCGCAGAATGGGACCTTAAAAATAGGATAAAAAGCTAGAATTTTATATCTGCAGAAACGAGGTCTTGCAATATAAGCAGTCCGGTCATTTGAATAAACCAAAACACTCAAAGTAATTTTTATTTTTAATTTTTGCATATTTCATTTGCATAATTTTCCTTGTTTTCTATCCATGCATTGGTAAAGTTTTATACTTTGGTCAGGTCGCCCTAGCGAAACCACTTGACTACGGAAAAATGAGACCAGTTTAATATAGCTTTATGTAAGGTGGTCCACCAAAGTCGATTGGACGATTGCATATAGGTATTAGCTTCAGCTAGTACTGTTGTGTTTTTTTGTCATAGCTATTGTTGGTCTTTCCAAATTGCCTAAGTTAATTGAATGCATCGATTACAAGCGGGCGTCAACACCCATTTCACCTGCTTAAACATTTCATCGTGCTCCCGACGGCGTCTTTCCTCCTCTTGTCGCTGACCGCTTTCCTCTGCCTCCCGCATTCGTCTGGCGCGTTCAGCCAACATTGCGACAGCGTGTACTCGCCGTTCCCAGATCAGACGATCCAATTCTTTGCTTAAAAAATTCAGCATATCCGCCAGCGTGTTCGAGGCTAGCTGTTCGAGTTGCTGACTGATCAGGTTCTCCTGGTCAGGGGAGGGGCGGGTAAAGGTTGGGGTGAATTAAACAGTGTGAGCTAAGGAAAACTGTATGAAATTCAAAGAAATGCAAATTTATAATTCAATACTTGGTCAGTGAAAGCTGGATTTAGCAAGAAAGCAGGCATTATAGTGGAAATTTAACTGTGAATTTTGAAAACTAGGATAGTAAGTTCTTTTGATTTTAATTATGAAGTAACAACATCTAGATTCCCAAATTATTCAGAATGAGAATTTAAAATAAATAATATGTCTAAAATTCTTGTGCACAAATTAGCTACATTATCCCCATTACCATTGTTGGCTTCACAACGCAGTCCCTTGACATTATGGTGAGCAGAATCTTTGGTAGGGTTGAGAAGCTATTCTAGCGTTCGCCATTTTTTAGTGATTTGAGATTCGAGCAGGCCTAAATACAGCAGAGTTACTTGTCTCGACACGATGAAAACTACACAATGCCGAGGTTCAAATTACTAAAATCCTTTTAGGATCCATTCTTTTTAACTTTACGAATACCGTGAATTTGAGTCGATACACTGTCAGATTAAATTGATTTAGCACAACAGATATTGGAGACTAGCATACTTGACAACTAATTTCTGTTGCTCTGCAGTCGTTTGATATTGCTATGACGTTTATGTTGACGCAGTCCAGGAGATATCCTCATTTAGTATGAAGATGAGCTGGGTTTAGTGGAATCCCATAGTAAATTGATGTTGGCGCACCGTTCATTTGGCTTGAAAACGCCGATTAAAGGGCCCAATAAATTGGCCTTGCCAGACACCGTAGGATTGCCTTTGACTGGTGATTCCTGTATTATGTAAAAAAACTTCGGCTAACCGTCCTGTGGACCCGGTAAATCAGTGATAAGCTTTCGTCCGTGACTGACATCGTCAGAGTTAAAAACCATCATTTCGAAATATTCACCAAAAATTCTAAAGCAAAAAAGGTAGCTGGCTGAAATCCTAGCTACTTCTTATACCCAAGTTTGTAATTCTAGTAAGACATTCCCTAATTTGGTTGGCTAGCGCTTCGACATTTGGTCTAGAAAACATGGAATGATATGCTTTCTATCAAATAAAATGCTCCAACATAACTCAATCTCAATCTTGAAAACTGACCAGCCCCTTTTTAAGGTATAAATACTCACAACAGCCCCGACTTACACAAACACGTGAACCCACATTTAAGCATTAAAGCACATAGATTAACATTAATAGGAAATAACCAAATTATAATATGCCTACTTGAACTCTGCTAGATTTGCTATTATTATAACTAAATATAATATTTAAGGAAGAGCCGGCTAGTCTGCTTTATTTAGTTTGGACTTGAAATTTCTGTAGGAATTAAAACATGATCTGAACTAGTATCGCAAAAGAAAGCTTATTCTGTTTTCACTGGAGCTGAAAGAAGATACATCGTGTACAGAGTCAACCTATACTCTATAATAACAGCAAACGACTGCAGGGCATTATGAATCGTCAAGGGTCCTACAGTGAGGTCAGCCCACTAAGCTCTTCATCAGGCACTTTCACATTAAATGAAAGCCTCCGCAACATTATATGAGATATATTCACCTTCTTTCATTTAAGGTGATGAAGTATAGGCAGATTAATTTTCCCATTATGATATGAGCAGAGCTGACATTTTCATTGAATTTCACACAACCTTGATTTCCTAAAAGGTGTTCTCATCCAGGTTTGACCGCAGCTTCGATCTGGCCTAGGTCTTATCAACACCCATAGCGGGAGTAGAACCGTGACAGTGCAGCATGTGAGTTTCACACGTTAACCACTCAACCACATTGTCATGAGCGCCCTTGGATCACAGGGTAGAGGTGAATTTCAAGGAAAGCCAAGTTGTTTCCCATATCACATTCTTTGGTGGGATTGTCGATGAGATAACCTTATTTTTGCTATAACAATCGACTACATTACTAATTCAAATGTATGAAGACGCGAATAACCTATGGCAGAAGGGGAGATACCACAATTGTTTAGCACACGTTTGGTCAAATAATCGGCTTCACTTGTCTCTTTTACGAGTTGTTGTGTGGTGCTAAGACTGGCGATACTCAATGATGATGCCGACTACGATGCCGGCGAAACGTTTGGGAATGTACCACGTCCACCGTTCAACTTTGGAAATGATCATGCATACAATGGACTCCGGACTAGGTGCGTTCCTCTGAGTCTTCTTACCAATATGACCATGTTGCAAACACAAGGTCAAACAACTTCTATACATTACTTATTGTTCGTCTATAAGCAAAATTTCGAGACTGTCAGTAAATCAGTTACCTAAATATTCGAATGCAAATGATTCTATTATAATGCCAATATAAATGTAATTCCTTTAAAAAAGTGACAAAGAGACCTATAAAATAACTTACCGGAAAGAGAAGGAAAATTTCCTTCTGTTATACTCTTCAATTTGAACAAAGAAGTCTTCAGGGAATTGTGCTTTGGTGTAGATAAATCCCAGCTGAGCCATTGTGCCCAACCTCAATAAAACAAGAAACCACTCTTTCACAAATTCCATCAAACATCGAGTCAATAATAGCGGATGTGTGCAATCCTACCTAGTTCTTATGACTTTTTTGATACTTCAATCAGACACTGTATTGGCTATGCTTGCAGATAATTGAGCTTGATACAAGGTCGAACTACAGGTCTTTTAAGAAAACAAATCTGCATTAGTTTCATATATCTACAGGATTGCAATACGAAGCATGAAAAGTCGACTAGATTATCGGATGCTCCAAAGGAATCTAAAATCTGAACGATTAAATATGGGTCGAATTGCAATGCATGTATCGATGAGACAGACGAAGGCTTGGCACGAATAGGCCATATTTTAGGACTTATTCGCTCATCGCTTACACAGTTTCAGCATCTCTGCTACCCGATATCAAGCCCGTCAAACTTGGCCTGTGGATGCATTATTCACATCTTTGGCAATGCATTTTCTAAATACTGTGTCTTCATACTCTGTAACCGTCTCGACCAAGAAGATGCAGAGCCACCAAGAGAATTCGAGACACAGCTGCTGCCCCTAATATCGTGTTTATGAATCAGCCAAATATTACCAATATAAAAACTAAAATATTTATATATTTATGCTAGGTTGGGATGCACCTAGTGCAATTGTTGTTGAAAATGCATATCTCTATGGGCAATTTAAGCCCTACTCTTGATTTTGCCTTTTTATATAGATAAGGTTCATACTAGCATATACGAATATAAGTAGTGCATTTATCTAACTAAAACTGATAACATACTTGGTGTAATAGCTCCTTTTGCTCCTCTTGACATGCAGCAATGCTTACTGCCTTTCTGCTGACCTCGGCCTGTTCATCTGCTAACAGGGCATGTGTCGAACGCAGCTCATTTATCAATTCGCGGCGCTTGCACCGACCCTCATGCATCATAGCCTGAATTGCGCGGCCACGTAGCAGCTGCTGCAAGAAGATGACAGCTTGCTCTGTGCCCGGGTCGTCTTCCTATAAGATAGCGAAAATGGTGATTCCAATAAAAATGAATAACTTCAGGCGTCCTTTTTAAATACACAAAGATATAACAAATCATCTTATCCATCTTCATTACATATAAACTTCATATACGAACGAATCATGATTTAAAAAATGCAATCAGTGTTTGAGCTAAAATTATTCGGCTCAAAACTGGACAGGATTGCATACTGTTCAAATACTCAAATACTAGATTATTTTTAACCTAAAATTCTTGGAATAAATTTCAGTGACAAAATATCTTGTCATCCTTACGTCTCAATTTTTTAATAAGTAAAAATAGATTATCATCTTTCTAGTTAGGAATGTTTATAGAGCTAATCAAATGGAAATAAACACAAAACGCCTAAAAAATAAAATTACTCAAAAAAAATTATAGTGGATAAAATTTATAAAAAGACCGCTTTAATCGGGATTCTACCCAGAAGTGATATTCGAGATAAGGGCAATTGTTTGTTATCATAGTTGTTGCTATCTGCCCAAGCTGAATTGATGAGAAGGCTCAAGTTGCCATTGGATTCAGTCTCAAACTGTGAGACAGACAGACTTTTTACATTGAGCCATAAAACAGTTTACACTATATCCTAGTCGAAGCGCATTTTCAATGAGATAAGAGAGTAAATCGTTCTTACCCAAATAAGAAACAAGCAGCATGAGCCGTATTTACACTATTTCGTTTAAGATAGTGAAGGATTAATAGATGAATTTTCTACAATGATATGGATTTCACATAGCCTTCAAAACCCTACTTATGAACAAAAATAGGTAATTTAGTCTATTGTCATAGCAAATATAATATTGCTTCATCGATAATCTTACCAAAGAATATGCTGTGTGGAAATACCTGGCCTGCAACCCAAGGGCACTCGCCGAAGTGGCGCAATGGTTAAAGTGTCAAGATTACACGCTTCACCGTTATGGCTCGACTCCCTCTGTGAGTGTTGATAAGACCTAGGCTAGATCAAAACTGCGGTCGATCCTGGATGAGAACAACTTTTGGAAAAGCAAGGGTATGTGAAATTCAATGGAAACGTCAGCTCTACTCATATCATTGTGGGAAAATTATACTACCAGTCCTTCATCACCTTAAACGAAATAGGAGGAATACATCCTTAGTAATTGATTTGCTGGTAGTCTCGAAACCCTACTTATGAACGAAAAGAACAATTAGAATCTTGTATAGGAGTCTTATTCACATTCGGTCGCATAAGCTGTAAAAAGACCAAATTATCCTAATATGATATGTGGGCTTTAAAATGCCTTTGAATTTCACATCCCTAAACAAAAAGTGTTCTCACTTGGGCCTCATCAGCAGCACCAACGAAAATCGAACCAAAGTAGTACAGTGTATAATTTCGGCATGTTACTCTTAAATAATTGAGGATACCTAGGCGATGTCGCAACAAACGTCCGCTGTGAATGAAAATACCTTATGAAAAGGTTGAATAAAGCTTTTATTCAGGATCTACTGTAAGTTTCGAAATCTTCTATATCTAACAAGAATCTTGAGTAGCTGAGTTGCTAAACAAGTATGACTCGTGATAGAGCTAACAAGACAACCTTATATCTAGTGATGATAGAATCTATGGAGGCATAATATTTCAAAATTAAGTTGTTCTTAACACTTTCAGGACGGAGTTGAAAGTAGAACAAGGAGAGTTAGTAATAAGCAATGGATTTGCCATCACTTTCGCTGTGTTTTTTTTCACAAAAAGGCCTTTCATGGTGGACTGTAGTTTCACAAGCAACTAAGTTTCATTTTCGAAGACTTAAAGACAAAGACTTTGCTAGAGTGACCTAATGGTTATGACTCTAAAGAAGGTCACAAGTGACCTTCAAAGCAAGAATAAGCTTACACAAACTCCATTTGCGATGAATTTGAGTAGATAAGTTTATAAATATCAACTATTTAAAATTATATAA